ACTGACCACGCTGCTATACTGTCGTTCCGCATTATAACTGAAGAAGACTTTAAATCAGATGATCGGAAACATCTCGTAAAGTGGCCTGGCCTAAAATTGTCTTCAGCTAGTTTGACGTAGAGTGAAGGCATCTCATACTGGTCAAATATAAATATGAGATCTAACTTTCACGTCACGGTTTAAAGTTCGGAATGACCAAAAACCGAAATATTGCCCACAAGCACCATTGTAGATTGTGGTGTAAATTTGAAGAAGAAATTCGATTGATAGACCAAATCTATTGGAATTATTTGAAATACAGATAGATTTACTCTGCCACGCATGGCAAGTCCACACCAATCAGCACAATCCGCACAAATTAATAAATCGTGTTTACAAAATAGAGTTCTCCACATCTTTTAATTACGATTTAAATTCATACTCGTTTTCTCTAATTGAGTTTATTATTATTATCGAGCAAAATGGACCGAAGGGTCTCAGAAATCTACGATATTTTTCTCACAGGCAGAGGTTATAGTTATATGAATGAAAAATAAATTCAAAAATTTGGGGTGGTTGATTTTTCCGGAAAATTTTAGTTGAAGTTTTCGGATTTTACCGGACAGACAGAAATCCTAAAAAATCAGAAAATGTTTTCCATGGAAATTTTCACGGTGGAGAAAAATCGCAAGTAAAACCATTGTCAGGGTAATGTAATTGTTTCTAATGACTTGTTTCATGCTTGGAAACTGCTAATCTTTCACTGGTGAACATTTCAGAGTGGTGTCTCTTACCATTTTTGAGCTATGACCGAAAATATAAAATTCTGAGACCCTCGGCCCAATCCTGGCCAATAATATAAAACAAACCTCTAATGTTATATATATACATAAACCGTTTATAAATTCAAAGACATAGAGGAAATGGATGTTATGTTGGCCTAAATGCCCCTAATTTGGGCCCATACATTTCAGCAATCGACTAAATTTTCAATAGCGACCAAAAATATCTATTAGTACCGTCCTAATGACGCGTTCATGTAGATAAAATTGAAAAATAGCTGATTTTTAGCGATGGGTCCAATTTTAGATCCATAGGCCAACATTAGAGCCATTTCTCTTATCATGAATGTTTGTTATCTTTAATTTTTCGATGTTTGAATTAAATTATGAATTCCTAAATTTCTCATAAATGTGGAAAGAATGTATTGTTATTTATGATTTTTTTATACTATGCAATTATTTGATGAAAATATATCACAAATTCTAAAATAGTGTAGCTGAATTTGCTACAGATATTTTAAATACAACAAAAAAAAAATATGGATCCATTCCCGAGCTACATTCTAATTTCTATAAAGGTTTTTAAGCACTTTTCTAATTTATATCATGGGCTACAAGACCATGATAAATCCCAAATTATTTCTTGGGTTTACTATTAATTAACTAAACTTAAAATTTTGTTTAGTAAAATTGTTCACTTTTTTATAATGAGTCACATTTTTAATCTATTCAGATTCATTTGCATAATTGAGAACTTAAAAAAAATGGATTTATTATTGCAATATAAATAGAAACGAAACACTTCTTGTAAGTAGAAGCATTGAATTGTACATTGAACAGATTTAAAAAAAAAGCGCTTGCAAATATTGGACCATCAAAAGATTGCATCGCAAACTACACTCTCAAATGCAGCAAACTTCTTGTTCAGTTCACATATGAACCGTAGCCGAATGAATGAGTAATTTACTCCTCTTGTTAAGCTCTGCAAAGTCCCACATACTTTCCCATCACACTGCTTGCGCAAAATACATAAAATACCCAAGTACGTCCTCGATCTCCGAACGGAGCCCACCGTCCGAAGCCCGTCAATACACCTTTTACCATTCTCGTGAGACCTCTTCTTTTCATCGTCTGTTTCTTACGCGTCATTCCCCGCACATTTTTCTTGCCCTGGCGATCTTTCGCTGATATCACGTTTTTAGCATTCATTGCTACTGTCTCCCACCCCCTCGCATTCACGCTGGCAAGGTAGCAAATGAAAAAAAAAGAGATACTACTCACACCACCATGCGGGGCTGCGATATGCGAGGTGCCGCCGCCGGAGTCGTCGCGTCGTACAGGAACCCACTTAGAAGTAGCCGGCTTTCGCACGATTCCGGCAGCTGGTAGTGATGGTGAGTTCGGTTTTCTTCGATCAAAACCGGACTCTTCGCAACACTACTGATGGTGGTGGTGAATCTTCGCGCGACGAGCCTTGGTTCTTGCTTATCCCGTCGACCATTCAATATGATGTAGAGAAAATTTTGCAGCGAATGATTTAATTTGGATCGGGAATGCTTGAAGTCATTGGTTTCCTCCTGGAAGCAGTGACTCACTCGTAGTAGAACGCAGTTTGCTGTGACAACGTGGTTGGCCGTTGCCACCACGCCCCAGGTCGGGTGCCTCTGTCTGTCTGTGACCGGCCGGCGTTTGCACATGGCATTTTTTTGCATTCGAAATCGAATGTTTTATTTATGTAGCTAGGCTGGGTGGCTCATGGCAAGGTGGATTTCCATGGGATATTCAGGCTGCCCAAAATTGAGCTTTGATTTGTACGAAAGAAACGTGCGATTCGATGAATGGCGACGACGTTGGACGTGCGATTCGAGTGTTCGTTGACCTTGAGCATAATGAGCTTGCCGCGTCGCAACGATGATGTCAGGTTAAGGCGGTTTTGGGCACGATTGGTGTCATTGAGCAATATGATTTTTTGCTGTATGTGAAGTTGGGTCGAGTTTTGCTAGATTTATTTCGAGGTTAGCTAGTGTTAGACAACATGTAAAGTCTTCATGCGTTTCTTGATTATTGTTGTGAAACTGGTGAATCATCGATTTTGTCAGTCCCTCCGTGCACTACCTTTCAATAATTTCACATAACCGGAATTTCAAATCTTATTCATTTTCAAAATAGATGTTTAAGGTATACTTTGGTGCATTAAAACCACTGAAAAAGCGCATGGCAATGGGGCTGACAAAATCGAGTCATCTCCGAAACATTTGCTTAAAATTTTGTTAATTGGCTTATAGTGCATTCCCAATTTTATTGAGCGATAAATCACCTTTTAATTTAGAAATTTTAAAATTTCTCCAGCTTGCAGATTATATTCTTGTATACATATCAACTTCTCTTTCTGTGAAATATGCCTTTTCTGTACATTTTCACCGTGACACATCAACTTGAACGCAAAGCAGTATGACATCACATATAGTTGAAGAAAGCGAAAGCGGACTTAGTTGTGCCATTCGTCACGGCATCAACCATAACCGTCGTTGTCGCCAACCAATTGCCGCCATCCAGACGGTTTTCTTAACCATGCACAACAAATTCGCACCAACCATACACGAATCTTACACAGCGCCATATTCGATCGGAGTACTCGCCAATTTGACAGCTGCTCAAATAGCAACTGTGAAAGACTGTTGCCGTAACTCAGGCCGCTGTCTACAAGCGTACGTTCCTCTCGACATATCCATATAAGACCATCCTTTTCTTAATGGTCCTTTTATGGACGACGCTCCACCGCAATACATACTGTACTTGCCGTCCATCCAGCATTCGCGGCTGACCAATCCGATGATGTCATGCACAACGCGCACCGCGAACGGTATGAGTCTCTGCGAGCAAGGTCGCCATATAATTGCTTCCAAAACACATCGCCGAAATGGAACCGAATCAATCAAGCAGCGGAATTCAGGTTTCCTTTTTCCGATTCAGATTTCCCATCAAGCCGAGATCAGCAAAAGGATACGAGCATTTTAATGACTTTATTAAATTAATTAAGGTATCGCGTACCCCATGATGGTGGCGATCACACGCTACTGATTTCGTACAGCAAGACCTCATTAGGCATGTGAGAACAATTTCAATAAGGTATTCCACTAAGTAGCGCTGAGATCGGTGACTGTATGGTGAGTCATGCTGTGCGCCGGACTCTTCGGATCAATTCGTTCGAGGCTGAGTCGTTTGATCAATCATCATGTTGCGGATTAGGAAACAAATACGTGCCCTTAAGTAGAGTGTGTGAGCACCTAATTTGCGATTGCTCAACTCATCAGAGGCATTCTATAGCGGTGAGAGTGAAATTTCCACCTTGTTATCAATACGAGTGGATGTCGTTGCACGATATCGCTCGAACGTGACTGGTGAAGGACGGTTCGAATGTTAAAACGGAACAAATAGCAGGAAATCGACTTTCAGTGATCAGAAACAGTTCCCGTCACACACCATTGAGCGCATTTTCACTCTTCCCCCGTTTTACCGGATCGAATTCTGTTTTTGAGCCATCAGTCCAAAGTAGTTCAAAGAACTTCAACAATCGGAACTGAACAAGTCTCCACTGAGAATGCATCCATCGGTCATTTGTTCCATTCAAATCGCCCCGGACGGTGATGACGCCCTTCGGAAAATATTTCAGGGTTCAACATTAGCGACTCCCAACCCATCAAACCGTACATTTTACGTCCATCGAATACCACACCGCGCATGATGTTATGCAACACACCCTACAGAGGCACTTTATTATTATAGTTAACCGTCCAATTGAGATGGCTATTTTATTCTATTCCGGTACTGTTTGGTTATAGTCTGATCGGGGCGAATTCCATCGTTTCGCGATGGCCATGATACGATGCGGCGAGCTTGCACTGGATTGCGTTACTATAGAACACCATTCAACAATGTGGGCTTCCATTTATAGATGTATAATGAAGAGAATGGTAGGGAACCGATTAAGCAACCACTATAGAGCTCATGATGATCGTTTAAGAGGATTACAAATGGTTGGTTTCATGGCTCGTCTACCAAACAAGGGATTGGTATTAGATAATCAATTACCATTAGCATTAATCCGATTGCGGATTCCGTTTTCCATCCAACTGGCAACACTTCCCCAACCTGTCACTGATAATAAAACAAACGCCACTTGTCAGCAAGACGAAAGACTAATCACATTTTCCCTCTTTTTTCTCTCCCTCTTTTTAGGCCGAATCCGAAGTCGCTGCCCTGAACCGTCGTATTCAGCTGTTGGAGGAAGATCTGGAACGTTCGGAAGAACGTCTGGCTTCCGCCACGGCTAAGTTGTCAGAGGCTTCGGCGGCTGCTGATGAGAGCGAACGGTAAGTGGTCGCTTTTCGCGTGGTTTGAATGGTGTGCCCCCTGCCAGGGGGTGTCGTGCCATATCGGACGCCGACGACGTACGTGCGGTTGCGAGCGGGATAAAGTCGACGTTGTTTATGAATTCAAAAAAAAAAATCGTCTTTTTCTCTCGATATACTGTAGCAGCGGAAGAATGAACAACAAACAGAATATTTTTTTTTCGAGTTATTTATTGGCTTACAGTCAGAACATATCGTGTAATCTGAAATGGTTAGTGGTTGAGTAATAAACATACCATTACTGCACCAACGGTATTCCGTATTTAGTACTGATTTAGATATTTGTAACAGTGATAAGTTAGTTCTTAAAACCTCCGGTTTATAACTGTCGTCAAATTTGGAAACATTATCCACTTGAAACTGACGATTGATATTTGCTTTTAGAATCATTCCTCTTTAGAACTAAAGCGATGATATTAACTAAGTTTTAGATATTTGTATGAATTAATCAATTTACCCATTTGTGCTTAAACCACGGTTTCTGATAGACTGAGTAAAATTCTGCTCGAATTTGAGTAAATCTCACTCAAATTTGACCAAATTTTGCTCAAATATGAGCTGATTTCTTCTCAGTCTTTGGGTAACCGTGGTTATAGTAAAACTTAGTAAAAGGAAATGACATTTGGTTCAAATTCTATGACTGTATAGGGAGAATATTGAGTTAGGTAGGGATCAATTATGGGAGAGTTGACAGTAGTTATTCCATCAAGTATTTTGGCTGATTGAAAGCCGTTTTTTTTCTAGCTTAAGCAGTGGCGTCCCGTAACTTCACTTTTTACCTATGCACTAACTTTCAAAACCAGATTGAATGCCATATTCATACTCGAATCGGTTGAAAAATACACTCAATCTTCTAGTTTATTCGATATCTATCCATTGCAAGCAATATCTTGATAATGTTTTATGTTTTGAGAGTTGGTACACAGGTAGATTGAGGTTAAGGAAACGCCACTGAGCTTAAATAAGCTTACATTCAATGTTTACTGCAGGACTGCTCTCTAATCCCATCGACGAGCACTGACTGCAAATATAACATGCAAGGCCACCTTGGAAATAATACCACAATTGATGGGAATGTTATTTTTTTGTACTAAAAATGTGTTCCATCAGAATGCTTCGCTAATTTTTGTCAACGGAGGTTTTTGTTTACTCTATTTAGACGTTATTGCAACATGAACTGAAATGAGTCACAGCACCTCGATGTTGGTCATAGGTAGCTGAAACCCAGCATCAAAGCAACTGCTCTGTTATTGTGCTATAGAGCCAACTTGTATCGATCAGACTCGACCTTCTCCGGTTTACATAAAAGTATGGTTAATTGATAGCTCTGAGTATTTATTCAAATTTCTGCTGGAATTTGACCATTTTCACTCTTGTCTCAATTTTCAAAATAATGTGTTTTATATTTCAATCAAATCTCAGAACGTTTATTCTAATCCGTCTGAGAAAAAGTTTTAGGAAAATAAATTTCTTTTGGAAAAATTCAGTCAAAAGATAATAGTAAATCGTTTAAATCAGTAGCATTAAAGGACCCCTTTTAATTTTTAAAAGCTCATCAGAAATACTAGTTTTCAAATCAAACTCTTTAAAATGACAAACTCATAGATCATCAACTTGTGGTCGAAACTTGAGCTGTTTTTTTTTTAACAAAAAGCTTTTTTGCATACGATACGAAACGGGTTTCAAGATCCGAAGAACCAATTTCAGAGAAAAAATAACATAAAATTTACTCCAAAAATAAAAATCCTAAAAATTTGGCCAAAAGTTGATGTTTTATGAGTTTTGTTATTTTTACAGTACAAAAATAAAAACAAAACTAACTTTTAAATAAAAAATATGTTACCAAATTTAAAATGAATTCCTATTAAAGCTTTTAATGTTTTTATTTTAGGTTATTTTTTTTAACAAAATTCCCAAAGTGTAAATTTACAATGCATTTTGTTTTCTGGAAAGGTCATTTTTTTTCTACAAATTTTTCATAGACATCCTTTTGAAAAGAAGAGATGTTTGAATTCTGAGATCAAATGCGCCAAATTAAATCAAAAGTATAAAAATTGATAATTCTTTTGTTATTTACAAAGATTGAGAATGAAATCCACCTTTATTTTGCATTTTGACCCGGAATCGCTCTATAACAAGTAGGTTTCGATGAAAGGATTGCATTTTGCAGTCAATGCAAATGCAGATGGAATCAAAATCTTGCGATTAAGTCCTCTATTGCCCGAATTATGGTTTTAGTATTTCCCATAATGATGCATAATGGGGAAAATATTCATATGTAGATTCATCCAGCTAGTCTAGATCAGCTTTTGTTGAAAGTTGAAACCAATTTATTGAATTTCTCAATTCAGTCAGCTAAAACTAGAACTCAAATGGAAACATTTATCAAAATGTCAGCGATAAATATTTAAGTTGGTTAAGATGTAATGTTTTACTCACCAATTTATCCCAAATACTGTTGCAAATGGTGATTAAATAGTTTATCTTTCCCACCACTAACAAATTATTTCTCGAAAACTGCTATGTACAGCTTTTGTCCCATCAAAAAGCGTGGTTAGGGGTAGGACCGAAATTGAACATCTTCATCCTTATGTTGTTCTAAATTTTAATATTTTATGCCGAATGGGTTTCACTGCCTTCCTCGCTGGCAGCAAATCTTTTGGACCTACTGGGGCATTCTGGTTCATATAGACTTGATATTAACTGTTTTTGTAGTATATTTTATACGACTTTGTTTTTGCAATTTGATATGAAAATATTCCTGTTTGTTGTTGTTATTATTCGACTGCTAGTTACAGATATCTCTATAAATAGTTTTTTTTATTGTGTTGGACAGCAAGATAAGTAAGTTACGGATCATGGTTTTAGTATGGAGCACTGGTAGCTGATTTAATACGATTCTAGAAATAAGTTGGAATAGCCAACCTTTTTTTTTAGTAATACTGTGCTAATTTGCAATTTTTGATTACAATAGTTATAATGTACCTAATTTTATTTTTCTATCTATTGGCAAGCATTACAGTTCATATGATTTATCACGTCACACGAGGAAAGAGCCTATCATTGTTGGAATAACACGGCTGCAAAAGCATTTCTCATCGAGTTTGTTATTTCAGGTACATGCTAAATCAGCGCCTGTCAACCTGATCTGCAAGCATATCCACGGTTGTGTTGCCAAAAGTTCAGTTTGTAAACCAAAGAGAATGAAGAGATTCGATCAACAATGATAGGCTCTTTTTCAGTATTTTAACATAAAAATTTGATCTATATATGATATTCGTGCAGAATTTCATTCGCCAGTCATGAATAATGACATTTGATATTCGAGACGAATTTCATTCAAAATTTGAGTAGAATTTCATTCTCGGGATTTGAGAAGAAATCTGTTCAAAACTCGAGCAGAATTTAATTTGCAATCTTTGTAAGATTTTAGTAGAATGTCATAATTGTTCCAACATTTTTGTAAAATACTATTCAAAATGCTCTTAGAATTTCATTCTAAATTTGAGTAGCAGTTCATTCGAAATTCTTGAAGGTTTTTATTTGAAATTCCTGCGACTTTGCAGTCAATTTAATTGTTTATAGGAAAGTTTGAACATACTGAGAGGTAAGCACATATCATCGGTAAGAGACGTGTGTGTGAGAAAATTTGCGAAAAAATCTAAGGGCACCGGTGGGATTTGAACCCACAATTCCCATTCAGTACTGGCCGGCAGCTCAAAATGTTATAGTCATACTGTACTGGACATATTTCAGCATGTAAGATGTACAACAAAAATGAGCTGTGTTTGTTCACATCGACTGATACTGAGTGGTTGCGGTACAAGCACATATCGTCGATAATAGACGATTGTTGTGTATCAGAGAACGCTTGCGCAAAAAGACTAGGGTGGGGAACGGATTCGAAACTCAAATGTCATTAGCCAAATACATCCGTAGACCATAGGTCCACCGTTGTATAATTGGCAATGCACCCGTGTACTGAATGGGAATTGTGGGTTCGAATCCCACCGGTGCCCTTAGTTTTTTTCGCAAATTTTCTCACACACACGTCTCTTACCGATGATATGTGCTTACCTCTCAGTATGTTCAAACCCTTCTTGTAGAACAGTATTCAAAATTCTTGTAGAATTTCATTCGTAATTCTTGAAGAATTTAATTGGAAACTCTTAGAGAATTTAATATGTAATTCTAGTAGAATTTCATTCAAACTTCGAGTAGAATTTGAATCAGAATTCTTGTAGAATTCATTCTAAATTATTGTAGAATTTGTTTAAAAATTTATTCAAATTCCTGCATAATTTCATTCGAAATTCTTGCAGAATTTCATTAAAATTTTTGCAGAATTTCATTCAAATTTTTGCAGATTTTCTTTCAATTTTTTTGCAGAATTTCAGTCGAAATTTGTTTAGAATTTTATTCAAAATTCAGGTAGAATTTTCGAACGATTTAATTCGATATTCTTTTACAATTTTATTCGAAATTCCTGTGGTATTTCAATGCAAATTCCTATAGAGTTTCATTCGAAATCCTTGTAGAATTTCTTTCAAAATTCACGTAGATTTTTATTAGCAATTATTTTAGAATTTCATACAAAATTGTTGTAGAATTTCATTCGAAATTCAAGTAGAATTTCATTCGAAATTCATGTAGCATTTCTTTCAAAATCTGGTAGAATTTCATTCGAAATTCTGGTAGAATTTCGTTCGGAAGTCTTGAATTCCAGTATAGTTTCAATGCAAATTCCTGTAGAGTTTCATTCGAAATCCTTGCAGAATTTCATTAGACATTCTGGTAGAATTTGATAAGCAATTCCTTTAGAATTTCATTCGTATTTGTTGTAGAATTTCTTTCGAAATTGTTGTAGAATTTCATTCGAGATTCTTGTAGATTTTTTTTTCTAAATTCTTTGAGAATTTTATTCTAAATTCTAGTAGAATTTTATTCTAATTTCTTATAGAATTTCATTCGAATTTCTTGTTGTTGAATGGTTGATTGATAAATTCAGCAAGCATTTGTACTAAACGCACAAGCTTGAATTTATGTAGAAATGAAGTGCTCGCATATCTACCTACGAATTGATTTCAATGAAAATCACACATAATTAAATAATCATATTTAGTATTTTGAAATTTTACTGTATTTATTTGGGCATGAACCATCACATTTTCGAGTAGCTTTGAGAAGATATAGAGAGATTTAAAGAAAATTAAGCAATAATACCCGATTTTCTCGAGGTTCTTACAGGAAAAAAAAAATCAAAATATTGTTGCATGGTAAAGTTCGAGTAGTAGGAAACGTCAGTTTTAAAATGCTCGAATAATGTGATCAATTGCTTTTGTAAACAAAGGGGTCAATCGCCGATTTCTCGCGAATAAAAGCTCAGTTTTTCATACAAACTATACCAAATGATAGAGGAATCATTTATCTACATGATTGTGCTGTTAGTTTCTGAGATTGAGACTTTATTCACAAGAAATTGGCGATTGACTCCTTTGTTTACAAAAGCAATTGATCACATCATTCGAGCAGTTTAAAATGACGTTCCTTACCACTCGAACTTTTCTGTTAGATAATGTTTTGAAGAAAAATCTTCTAGATCTTCGTGAAAATATGGTGTTATACATATATGCTAAGCTAGAAAAAACAGGATTTTATTACTTAACTTTCTTAAAACCACTGGTAATAGGTCGTCTCAAATCTGCTCGAAAATAAGATTAATTACGTGTAAATCTCGAATCATGCCGAAAATATTTGTATTCTGAGTGCGAAATATTAAAATCATAGATACTCTTACTAAAACCCGGTATGTTTTAGTTAAAAGTACAAATGTTCAAGTGCTGAAAAATGCTCTTTTCAATACATCAAAAATAATTCACTTTGGTATAGTGGAACCTTCAATAAAGTTGAAAACATGTTTGATACACACAACTTTTCTCAAGGTATCATATATCCATTGAAAATCTTATTAAAAATCAATTTGGTTCTAAGGCTGAATTATGGCTAGCACACTCAGACTTTGTACATTCAAGATTGAAGATAAATATCAGTCAAAGTGATCAAAGTGGACTCCCGTCTTTGGTTGTAATTTAAGCACATAAGTTTCGAACTTGCAATTCTTGGGTTCCTGAACAAGTGCCCGTGTCCAGTGCTCACAAGGTTGAACCGTCGTACCATATCCATACTAGAACTGATCCTAGACTGCTAACCGTGCTCGTCCAGCTTACCATTGTCGTTCAGAGAACTTCCGCCCGGATTGTGAAGATCTAATTCTTGTCTCATTTTTCCCGCAACTGTTTCATATCTAATTTCACTCACCATGGTGATCATCATTTCCTACCCACGTACAGGATTAGAAAAGCCCTTGAAAACCGTACAAACATGGAAGACGATAGAGTAGCGATACTGGAAGCACAATTATCCCAGGCTAAGCTAATAGCAGAAGAAGCAGACAAAAAATACGAAGAGGTACAATTAATTCTTCCTACGCTATGAATCTACACGAAATTGTAAAACTACGGTTAGGTGGAACGTTCCGAACGTTTCCAGTGTCAGTGTTAGGGCCGTTAGGATCTTTAATTTTTCAGGTTTTTGACGTCGTTCCAGTCGCCGCCGCCGCAACCACGATTGTTCTTTGCAGATATGTTAATTTTCAGCCACAACCACCATCAGGCCGCCACTAACACATGATTCTCTATATTTTCTTCTTTTCTGTCAATTATCTCTGTCACACTGTCCTCATTGAACGTGCTAATCCAAAATCACAACAACGACAAATATTTAAATGCAATTGGCCAACAGTGCACGCAAGATTCTTGAGAACCGTTCGCTGGCGGATGAAGAGCGTATGGACGCTCTTGAGAACCAGCTGAAGGAAGCCCGCTTCATGGCTGAGGAAGCTGACAAGAAATACGATGAGGTGCAAAAGCCAGACATTACTTGAACAGTGTTTTCTGTTTTTGTTTTCGATTGTTTGTTTCATTTGTTATCCCCATTCGCAAAACATATGCGCTCGTCATCACACATAATCTGCACCACATCACACTTCGGTTCGATAACTTTTGATCCGCAACTCGAAGCATTCAGTTGCCAGTACCCTCTCAGAAGTAGAAACGCGCGCAGGTTTCGGGTTATTCGCGAGTTAGGGTAGAGAGCCGTCGGATCGGATGGGAACATCACAGTTTTGTCTTGTCATGAGGTCGAGTCGGAAAGCAAGATAGCAAGTGGGACAGGCACGCGGATACAATCGTTATAGGTCACACCGCCAAATCCTGCCAAAATTGAATACTTTGGGCGCGTCTTTTTTGTTTCGTTTCAAACTATACCAATTAGAATAGCAATCATCATTATTATTATTACCACTATCGTTATTAGTACCCTAAAACCGAAAGAAGGACGAAGAGGTTCGTTTTGCCGTGATGATGTCCACAGTAGTGCATCAGGGAGTGATTTTTTTTTCTTAAAGTGACGGGTTTCGTTTGTGTTTTTGTTTTCATGTTTATTTTTCGTATACGACCCCGCGGGAGCCGCGAATAGAAAAAAGGAGCGAGATGTGATTCCAAAGAGGTGCAGGGTTTTTGAACAGCGTTTGGATGATTGTTGTTAGCAGAAGACAGGGTTTTCCGGTTTGCCGAGCTTTGTTGAGAATCTTCCAGAAATTTAGGCTACGTTTGAGTTTGTTTCAAAATTCTATTTATTGAAATCTCGTTAAATTAATTTCAATTTGATCCGGAGATCGTTGAACGGTTATAAACTACGCGGTGTTAGATGTTTTGAACAAGAAAGCTTGGAGGTGTAGAATGAACGGTACTCACACCAACTCATCTCATCTTCACTTGATCACCAAAAACCCCTTTTTCATCGATTACACATCTCATAACGTTCACACTTCATTTTGCTTTTTATTTCGTGCTTTATGTTGTCCTAAAGATCACTTTCGAGAGTAAATTGTACTAACTGATGTGAATTGAACCCGACTGAAGCAAGGATGATACTTTGAACACTTTTCTGCTTTAAAATGAAGAAGACTGGCTTTCACGCAATATCAGCGGCGCCAGTCGCAACCACATTTTATAGGTAATACCATCATGTAACAGCAGTGCCTCCAGTCCGTTGCTGTGGCAATGAACCGCCGAATCAGTGTCTTGCCCCCCTTAAAGTTTCCAGGCTAAACGGAGGGGGGTTCATAATAGCTCACCACTAATTGTCTTATATAAAACAACACCAAATCAAGAATCAGAATCGTCCAACCATAGCGAAGCTATGGTGCCGGTAGAAATACTACTAATTAAAGATTAACCAGCGCGAAATGATAAGGTAAAGCACCTGCGGACTAACAAGTCAGGTATCAGAATTGCGGCAATTTCGGACAATAGGGATTCAGAAGACCGGCGAAGGAAGGAGGGGTAGGGGATTTAAGTAATTGAACGAATCAGCGAAAGGAAAAGTGCAAGTGAGGTGTGAAATGTATGGAGATTAGCAGCGTTAGCTGGGTATCAGGAATCGCCGGTCTCAGAGTAGTCAAAGCTAGGCAGCATAGAACAGGGGGAAACAGGAATGCAGTAAAGCAATTTGTAGCAAGGTACTGGAAGCAAATTGTGCAACCATTTAGTTGAAGCAAGCCAGCAAGGTAAAGAAACATAATAAAAACGATCAGTTTATAATGTAACATGAAACGTGTTGTAATAATAATCATATTGAAAAAAAAAAATGATTGAGAAGAATGAAGTGGAAAAAAATGCTATCTACACAAGGATTGATGAAGAAATTATATATGAATTATACTATTTTAAAAACATTGAAAACATATTTAATAAACTAGTTCAGCGAAAAACAAATGGCTTCGGTTGTTTTATTATTTTTATGGTTTATGTTTCACAGGTTGTTCAGCGATTCCACACTCATCTCTCTCGGCGTTTTCGGCGGTTATATGGGACTGGTCCTTAGTCGAGTCAAATAAACGTTATTTCCAAAGAAATTTGAAATGGTTTTTGCATGTTTGCTGGAGTTCCAATATATCAAGAATGCTAACAACTGATCGATTTTGGTAATTCTGGGCCATCTCAAGACTCACAATTTAAAAGGTTGAATTTGAATTGATGGTCAGGTGTTTTTTTCGATGCAAACATTTTTTTAAACAAATCATCTTCACTGACTTAATTTGCATTTGATTAATGCAGATACGACCTTTTGAAATAAGAGTCTTTCATCGGTCACATACGGAATATATCTGGTATTGACAATCCACCAATATTTTTTTTTATTTAACCGTGAAGTTGATGATTACATAGTTGAGGGAGATAGCTACTTAATGAATTTCAATATCTAACTTAAGATGAATATGGTAGATAAAGTGTTGAAATTGCCTCGTTTATTCTATTTTGAGATCAATAAGGTGCGCAGTGAGCAGTATTGACGAAAAAGTTTAATTGTGGGTGTCAGATTCTGAGAGGCTTCAACATGTCTGGATAAAGGGTCTTGGTAATGAAGACTTACAAGGCATTTTACGCTCCGAATACGATACCTCCCGTAAAATGTGTAACGGCAAACTTGCAATGTTTGAAAAATCATAGCTCCGCCACTTATTGACGATTTTCAAATCTATTGGCGCCATTCGAAACTACAGACATATTTTCCGGTATCAATAGATATAAAATTTATTGATGAATTGATGCGCAATGATTTTTTTAACATTTCCAATTTGCCGATACACATTTTACCGGAGGCATAGTTTTGGGAGTGTTAAATATACTCCAAACGAGATTTTTAAATACTTTCTAACTGAAGATTCACGTTTAAATTGATAATTCAAAAGCCACCAGAAAAAAATATTAAGGTTCAATTTACTTTGATGCATTTTTTAAAAATTCAAAAGCAGTTTTTTTCGTCGCATTATTTTAGATTGCAAAAAGCTCGCGTTATTTTGTGTAAAATATCAAAAGGAATCGAATAGTGCGAGCTTTTTGCAATCTGAAATAATGCGTCGGAAAAAACAGCTTTTGAAATTTTCCAAAAAGCATCAAAGTAAATTGAATCTTAAGAAGTCTTCATGGAATAATACATGCTATCGTAAGAGATAATCCAGTCCATTATAGTCAGTAGTGTCGAATCATAGAATACTACGATGGGATCCAACTGAAGTATGTAAGAAATTTAAATTTGAGTGATTTTAACACACATCTCCCGTCACATTGGGAGACCAGAGGGTTTAGCGTTCGTAAGAGGCTATATCAAAAGGTGTTCCAGAAGGCATCCGACATAGGTGTTAAAACCTATTCAATGATTCAATGATCCAGGTTGAGAAAGAAGACTTTGAAAGAACATCATAGCACACTTCTCAAGCGAGCTCCATGGAGGACTTCAAAGGACCCGTTAATATTAGGATCACTGTGAAATAAGATGGACATGATATTTTTGTCGTAATCCTGTAGTGCAGTGGTTTCCAATCATTGAATACGATAATGCTGTCTGAAAAATTGACTTTTACCCAAATCGCCAGAGTAGCAAAACAAAATCTGACGCTGGAAAACGCAGACAACGTGTTCACTTTGTTAGGCTTGGCAATTGGAATTGTAATATGACCACATTTTCATGAACTGAATTTCGATTTTTAACAAAAAAATTGATTTTGTAATTTATTTTTTCAATGATCTACATTCACTTGCATTTTAGTCAGCCCAAAAATGGCCTAAGAAGCACCAACACTAAAACAATCCTCAAATCGCTCTAATGGCAAAATCGATAAAATAGGATTTTTAGCCAAAATTATCTTTGGAACGCCAAAATGTCTTTGAAATGTAAAAAAAAAAATACTTTAGAATCGTAATGTTTCACCTGAAATTGAACAAATGGTCTCGAAACGCTAAAACTGACTTTTAAAAATATCAAAACGACCTCCTCAAACAAATCTTAAAAACACTAAAATAAGCTTATACAGGAATCCCCAGAATAGCGTGGTGGGTGGTAGCGTCCACCCACCGTAGTTTCTTGGCTCCTCCATCCAGTTAAGCTGATTTTTTGTATCCACGATCTACCGAAAACGATCTCAATTGGTTGGAAGAGCCGAGAACTGCGGCAGCACCCCTCCTGGAATTGCCAACCTATTCTGGGTATTTCTGTAATATTTTACGGCTTATTATAATCAAAATGGCTTTTAAAATGCTAACATGACCTAGATGTAGAAGATCCAAAATGGTTTGAAAATTACCAAAATTTAAGACCATACACCAAAAAGATTCAATAACGTCAAATTACCAAATCGCCAGAATGGCATAAAACACGCCTAAACGAAGTGGAATAGTTTAAAAACATCAAAGAAACTTAAATTGACTTGAAAACGTTAGGTTATGTTAGATAAGGTTTCTTTATTTAAGAGGCTTTCAGCCTGGGGTGGTTCGCCTCCAAAACTTGAAAGCGGCATAACACCAAGATGGCCCTAAAAATACCAAAAATGGTTACAGAGTACTATA